GAAGAACAGTTAAGTAGGCAACTTTTAGATGAAGTTAAAGGGATGCATAGATGTGATCCGAGTCTAATTTCAGCAGGAAGTTGGATGAATGATCCTATATGTGACTACTCAGGCAAGTAAACTGAGGTACAAGTTGTAATTCTATACCAGATGGAATATATGTAAAACCTACCTCGTAAATTAGACTTATAGGTAGTTCTCTCTCAACAATAATAATTAGGACTTGAATTTCCATAATTAAGAATTATGTTCATAAAGTACAATATTATTTGTCTCCATCTGGAACTTTCTCTCTGCTTCTTTATTGACATTGCCAATAGGAAGTCAACAGAAAAGGTTGCTAATGCCAATCATGTAACACTGGGGATGCTGCAACTATCCTCAGTATGAGGACCAGTTGTAAATGCCATTTGTTCAGCACTATTGTCACCAAATGGTTGCTGAACAAGTGATTGTTAAGTGAAGACCATCTCTCATTTGGTTGCTTGGACTTAACCCATAAATTGCAGAATATGGTTCTTGACTTGAATCAGACATAGCATTAGGCATCTAAGCATGCCAGACAAGCATCATATTTCCAGTATCACATCTGTATGTGTGAACTTATAGAGGTAGTCCTTGATTTACAGCCACAATTAAGACCAAAATTTCTGTTCTTAATCTTTGAAACATTTGTTACATGAGTTTTGCCCACTTTATGATCTTTCTTGCCACAGTTGCTAAGCGAATCACTGCATTGTAAGCCGGTTGTTAAATGAATCTGACTTCCCCATTGACTTTGCTTGAGAGAAGGTTACAAAAGGTGATCACATGACCTTGGGACACAGCAAAGGTCATAAATATGAACCAGCTGTCAAGCATCTGGATTTTGACCACATGATCATGGGGATGCTATAAAAGTCATAACTGTGAAAAACAATTGTAAGTCACATTTTTCACTGCCGTTGCAATTTTGAAGGGTCACTAAATGAACTGTTGCAGTTTGAGGACTACTTGTGTAAGATAATATGCTCAGTGCTTTGTGGCATAAAAAGTTTATAAGAGACAACTTATTTGAACACATGACACCATTTTTTTTTCCTAATGGGTTAATAAAACAAATTATTCCCATAAGGGTATTCCAAAACTTAATCTGAAAGCACTGATTACTTAAGTCTTGAGTAATAGCAATAATAAAGATTGCAAAAGCAAACAAACTGAAAGCTGGAACTGGTCTTTTACAACTGTTAAGTAGAAAAACATGGCAGACCTCCTAATTTCTCTTTGAAACACAGTTATAGATTTAGTTTAAATACATTTTGGGCAGCAAACAAAGAAACTGTGTTTCCTTCACATATGCATAGAGTACTTAAGATGCCAATTTAGATTTTTTTGCAAAGTATATGGGCTTTTAGCACATGTGCTGCTGAAGTCAGCACAAAGTATAGGAGCTTTTGATTTATCTGGCAGTGATCTCCAGAATCAAAACAAGCATGTGATTCCTCAGCAGAGCAGAATAGAAATTTGCAATGGAGTTAACAAACCAAGGAATACATTACTGGTAACCAAAAATCTCAGAACTATTCTTTGAAATATGTTAGTAACTGGCTAACATGAGAGCTACAACGGCAAGATATTTCATGCTAATCCTAAATACTTAACCCTCAATCAGGGTTTTGTTGTTCATTTAATTTTCCTTTTAAGGACTGCCATGAATAAATCTGCCTATATATTTCTGCCACATTCTTAAGATATTTTACAAAATGGCTTGGAATGCAGCAAAAATAATTTTTCCGAAAGCCTTTTCTTCCAATGGCCATGGTTGTTCTATGTTTCAGTGAAATTACGCTGTTTTATGATCTCTGCTCAGATATTTATTAGAACCCATGAAGGCTAGGCTTGTATAGAGGGAAGAGAAGGTACATACTGGTATCTTCCTGGTAGGAAGATGTACAATAACTTCAGCCTTCAGGACGACAGCAATTGTACATGTTTGTAAAGATACAGTAGTTCTAGTTATATTCAGGCAAGGAGACAAAATGTTCTTCATAGGCCAATAGTTGGTAGATGCTGAGACACTAAAGCTGAACCAGCCTTAGCTCCATACAATGTGTATACAGGTATAAATCCTTAACTGATGACTACAACTGAGTCCAAAATTTCTGTTCCTCAATAAGACAGTGGTTAAGTTAGTTTTGCCCCATTTCACAACCTTTCTTGCCACAGTTGTTAAGTGAATCTGGCTTCCCTGCTGACTTTGCTTGTAAGATGGTTACAAAAGGTGAGATCACATGACCCCGGGACACTGCAACCATTTTGCCAATTGTCTAAATTTTGATCATGTGACCATGGGGATGCTGCCATGGTGTGAAAAACGATCATAAGATACTTTTTTTGAAGGGCTTTTGTAATTTCGAACTGTCACTAAATGAACGGTTGTAAGTCAAAGATTACCTGTATGCCAAACAATATGCTTGCTAAGAACCCTTAGCGATCAGGGCACTGAAATTTGAAGTGGTGCCATATTTTAGTAGGTCCAAACATCAGCAATACAGTCAAGGAAGGAACCCAAAAGTATGAAGTCTTGTCTAAAAGTTCTCTTCTTTCCATTTAATCAATATTATCATCACACCATGATAATCCTCCCTCTTATTGTCCTTGAAAAGTACAGGTAGTCCTCGACTTACAACAGTTCATTTAGTGACCGTTGAAAGTTACACCTGCCCTGAAAAAATGTGACTTTTCACTTAACAATCGTGTAACTAATTTATCAACTACAATGATTCACTTAACAGCTGTGGGAAGAAAGGTGTTGTGGCCCGTCAGCGGCCTGTGCGGATTGTAGCTGACTCTGACAGTGAGGGTGTGGTGTTGCGCCAGCAGCCTGTGCAGCTGGCACTTGAGTCGGACAATGAGGAGACTAGAGAAGATATGGTGCCAGAGGTAGGGATTCAGCCAGGGCCTTCAGAACCTCCAGAAGCTCCTTTAAGTGAAGAGGACGAAGAGGAGGAGCCTCTTCTCGATGCACGGGCGCACAGAGCTGCGAAAAGGCAGGAGTGGCTCCTCAGGAGGAGGTCTCCTCGAGAGTAAGGCTTGGGGCTAATTGGCCACTCCCTTAGCCTATTTAAGGAGGAACGCTGATTGAAGCAATTTGTAGGGAACAACTTTAGTTCACTCTACTTCGCATCTGGATTCTCTGCAGATTGCTTCTGGGCTTTCTGCCAACCTTAGTAAGATTGTGATTACTTTATCTTTGGTTTCTTGTAGTCTGTCAAGAAAGTTTATTAACAACCTTTGTTTTGAAAAAGACTGAGTTATTTTAGTAAATTAAGTTTTGTACAAACTTTGTATGTGCTGTATTCTTGGGGTCCATAGCTGGGGCAGAACAAAAGGTCATAAAATAGGGCAAAACTCACTTAACAAATATCTCACTTAACAACAGAAATTTTGGGCTCAATTATGGTCATAAGTCAAGGACTACCTGTATAATTCACAATAAATGTATATCTCTCGCTTGGCCAGTGTTGAATAACCTCACCATGTCTATTTTCAACTGTCCCATATATAGATGAATCAGGGGTGAAATCTAAAATTTCTTACTACCGGTTCTGTGGGCGTGGCTTGGGGGGTAATGTGACTGGGTGGGCATGGCCAACTTTTTTTATTTTTACTTTTAAAAGCATTTTTTCTACAACCTCTTCGGCCAAAGAGGTGGTAGAAAAAAATGCTTTTAAAAGCCTCTGACAATCCCAGCTGAGCTGCGCTATCATCAGAGGCTTTTTTTTTACTTTTAAAAGAATTTTTTTGGCCAAAGAGGTTGTAGAAAAAATGCTTTTAAAAGTTAAAAAAACAGCCTCTGATGATCACGCCGCTCAGCTGGACATGGGGGGGGGCGCAGGGATTTTTGCTACCGGTTCTCCGAACCATCTACCGCCATCGCTACCAGATCGGACGATCCGGTCCGAATCAGGAGCATTTCACCCCTGAGATGAATGCCTGAACAAATGAGGAAGTTTGGGAAGACAAGTCTAGGAACCAGAAGGAAAAATTTCTCTTGTCCTAGAATAGTGGTAAACCTGTTCAAATAGGCAAGCTCTTTGGGATAGCTATCATTCTTTATTTGGGAAGAATGGTATAAATAAAATTGATGGGGTGTTGCAGGGAATTCATCCTGCTTGCATTTTAAGTGAACTAATCTTGCATTTCTTAAAGCAGGTGCTGGGAAGAAATTTTCCAGATTGCACATTCCTATAAATTTTCAAGTGTATAAAAACATGTACAAAAATGCATATTAAGGACAATTATGTGCATCATACCTGCATGAGAAAAAGTTGTTCGGAAAGAATATCAGAAATAATTAATTCAAAAATGAAATTATTAGTACAAAATGTTTATACTAGAGAACATTCAAAAATACACATTTATATAAAAAAATAGATGAAAATAAGATGGAACAGATTTGAGCCTGAAAATACATGGAAGTGATATAGACGGAAATAAACAGATTTGTCATCTCTGCTAATTACCTTGTGGGAAGATAAATTTATAATTACAGTTCAATCTTCTCAGTAATTTTCTATCATTTATGAACTCAGGATAATATTTTTACTATTTCACTTAACACTTCCATTTCATCCACCTGGAACAAACTTTTTTTTAAAAAATCAAACAAACATTATAACATCTCTATATATAAAACCCTATTCAGCATAATCTCATAATAGGTGGCTGTTATCTTGTTTTAGCATTTTCCATTGCAACATGTCCCAATTTGCTGAGTTCCTTGTGACAGGAAGTAGCCCAGATTTTGAACCAGACAGACTTCTAATTATTGGAACATACTTTCATCTTTATTTATTTTTTTCTCATATAAAGAAAGGGGGTTGAGGAAAGGAGGAATAGTTGATTAAGCAAATGACAGAAGAGAAACAACTAGAGACCAGGTGTCTTCAACACTAGTCTTGGTCTTCTGGAATGCCCAAACATTCCAGAATGTTTCTTCTATTCTAGAGTTCATCTGCATTACACAAAAAAAGAGGACTATCACGCTGAAAGGTGAACCTTCTGTTGTGTGTCTTTTGTTTTAAGTGCATCTTTCCTCATAATTGGGAGCCAAATTTCTGATGACAAATGTTTACTCGTGAATATTTCAAGCTTGATTTTAAATCTTAATTATATGAATTTGTATATTATTCTAACAACCACCATAGCAAAAGAGTTTCAGAAGTCTATCCCAACTCAGGACAGATACAAATGAGTGAAAGGACATCATCCATACAATAAATGGAGTTCCTTCCCATAATTTTTTATTATAGGATGGAGAAAATTCCTAAAAGAGGTCTTGAAATCTATCCATCCAGTTATAGAATCCTGTTTTATTCCATACATGCCTTTCTGTAGTTTTAAATTTAAAGGTAAAGGTTTCCCTTGTCCAGCTGTGTGTGACTCGTCTCCATTTCTTAGCCAAGAGAAAAAGCATTGTCTGAAGATCCTTCCATAGTCATGATTGTACACCAAGGCACATGGAACACTCTTACCTCTCCCACTGAATACTCTCACTGAAGGGGTATTTCTCTACCTGCATTTTCATGCTTTCAAACTGCTATGTGGGTAGGAGCTGGGGCAAGTAACAGGAGCTCATCCTGTTGCACAGTGCACGGGTCTTGAACCCAGCTTTCCAGGTAGCAAGGCTCAGTGTGTTTAATCCCTGATCCATTGCACCCCTTAGTTTGAAATTTACTCATTAGCAATTTCTCTCTTTCTTCAGACATGTACTGTTCCTTCAGGTTTTTAAAAAATGTATATGTCTATGGAGGTCTTGTTTTTATAGGAGGAACAATTTGTGGCAAGAAATTGATGAGTGAAATAGGCAAACCATGAGTTGTTGCTTTGCAATTTCAAAGAGCAGAAAAGTCTGGATCTAAATCTAGTTCAGGGTGGTATGACAGAAATTGTTAGCCTGTAGTCCTAGAATCTGAAACATTTGTTAACCTAATTTCACAGAGCCTTTATCTAATTACAAAATCATTGTGTGAGAGTTTATTTTAAGCTGTTTGTAAAACTACTTATCTTTTCCTTCTAGGCTGCAGATTAAGACAGTTTTTCTGGATGAGTGACTCTAAAGTGGTAGCAATGGACTGTTGCAATGCAGTCTCTGCGGGGCTGTTCTTGAATGGTATTTAGAAGCTTCGGTTGGTTCAGAATGGTCCAAATTCATTGCAGGATTCAAAGTGCCAAGTTAGTTAGTTATCCAGTCCAATAGTCAAGAGTCCAAGAATAAGTAAACACAGGAACCGGAGTCATGAACTAGGATTCCAATTGATTGTTTTCAATAAAAAGGCAAAGCAGCTACATAAATATGACTGCAGCCAGCTGGCTGCAATTACTCAGGTCACGACCTTTGCCTAGTGAGAAGCCTCATGGACTGGCGTAGCTTTGCTTTTCACTGCATGCATCAAGATCTATGGCTTGGAGGTTGTGTCTCATCATTGACTGCTCCAGCTGATCAAGAGATGCTTCGGATTCCTCAGCCTCTTCAGATGTATCATGGCTTGAAGTTTCCAAAGGCTGACAATCCACAGACTCAATTGGCACACCATTGTCAGAATCAGACTCAGGGTCTAAATCTTTATTGTGACCCATAACTCTGCCCCCTGTGGTTTCTACTTGTTCCATTAGAGCCAGCTAGGCAGACTTTCTCCCATTCTCTTAGATGAAGTGATATCATTCTGGTGGAGCATACCTTCTCTGTCATGATGTCTCCCTTATGGATCTCAACCTCCTTCCAGAGATTTGTTAACCAAAATGTTAACAAAGCCTGGGTTTGTGGGTACATCACATTGGTTATGGTTTTTTTATACTGCCTCAAGTTATTGTTTTTTAATTGATATATATATTAGATATTATCTTTTCTTAAACACGGAGGGTTCTATTAGTATTTGGATAGCTATATAAATATGTTGTGTGAGAAAGCAGAAGAATGTATGTCAGGAGAGAAGGTGTATCCTGACTTCTTCTGGTTTTGGTCTTTTCCCCAGATTACCTTCGCATGAAATGGGGCCTTTAATGGAAAAGGTTGCCCAGGGGATATCATCTAGGTCAGTGGTTCTCAATCTGTGGAACCCTGGGGGCGGTGATGTCATCAGTGGAAGTCCGCAGAGACTTGAATGTTATGATTTAAATCTTGAGTTAAGTCTTGGTGGTCCATGATGACAAAAGGTATTTAAAAGGGGTCCAGGGTTTAGGTTTAGGTTTAGGTTTTATTTGATTTGTATACCGCCCTACTCCCGAAGGACTCAGGGCGGTGAACAGCCAACAATAAAATACATAAATACACAAAATTTAAAAACCCGATAAAATCAAATTAAACTTTTTGGCCCAGACAGATTAAAATACCCCAATAATTTAAAAACAGATTAAAATTTACATATTTTAAAAAGGGAAGAGATCAGGCCAAGCCCGCTTGATGGAATAAAAAGGTCTTCACAGCACGGCAGAAGGAACGCAGATCCGGGATCCTCCGTATCTCCGGGGGGAGCTCATTCCAGATGGTAGGTGCCCCCACAGAGAAGGCTCTCCCCCTAGGGGCCGCCAGTCGACACTGTTTGGCTGACGGCACCCGGAGGAGTCCCTCTCTATGAGAGCGTACTGGCCGGTGGGAGGCTATTGGTGGTAGTAGGCGGTCCCGTAAATAACCAGGCCCTAAGCCATGGAGCGCTTTAAAGGTGGTAACCAAAACCTTGAAGCGCACCCGGAAGACTACCGGGAGCCAGTGCAGCTCACGCAGGAGAGGTGTTACATGGGAGCGCCATGTCGCTCCCATTACCACCCGCGCGGCTGCACTCTGCGCCAGTTGGAGCCTCCGGGTGCTCCTCAAGGGGAGCCCCATGTAGAGAGCATTACAATAGTCCAGGCGGGAGGTGACGAGGGCATGAGTGACCGTGCGTAACGAGTCCCGATCCAGAAAGGGACGCAACTGGCGAATCAGGCGGACCTGATAAAAAATCCTCCCGGTCACGGCCGTCAAGTGCTCTTCTAAAGACAGCCGTGAATCCAGGAGGACGCCCAAGTTGCGAGCCCTCTCCGTGGGGGCCAATGATTCGCCCCCAATAGTCAGTGATGGCGTCAACTGGCTATATCGGGACGTCGGAAACCACAGCCACTCGGTCTTGGATGGGTTGAGCCTGAGCCTGTTCCTCCCCATCCAGATCCGTGAAGAAATGGTTGAGAACAAAATAGATGGCATTTTCTAAGTAGGATGTAGCATATCTTTTACACTAAGTAATGGATGCTCCTTTCTATGGAGGCTTCCCATTCTAAACTATAAAGATAATACTCAACATATGAACAATTGTTTAATGATACTTCAAAATTACATGACCTCAGAAAGGGTGTTTTACCCATGGTTGGGTGTGTTCCTGCCCACCCACACACCGCAGTCACATAACTGCCTTATGGACACTTGGCAATCAGCTCACATTTACAGTTGGTTGCAGCATCCCAACATCATGTTAACATGATTTGAGGTGTTTACAGTGGAATTTTTTTTTTGCCAGTTTATAGAAAAAAAGACCCATTCAGAAAAATGGATTTGCTGGAGAACTGTGTGATTCACTTAACAACTACTGTAACAACTGCAAAAAATCAGATCCAGTCATATGGATGCCATGAGTCCAACAACTTATAACTGAAATTTCTGTCCCAACTGTGGTTGTAAGTCAAGGACTCCCTGTATTTAAAGTAAAAGTGCACATTATTTAACTATGAAATAAAAGGGCTTTGTTGTCATGCAGCACAACACACAAAAAGCTAAGGATGCTATTAAGTTGGATGTTTACTCCCTAAGACTGTTTTTTGACATTCACCATCCTTCTTCTCTCAGGTGGCCTGCAGATGTCCTGAGACAACTACTCTCAGAATTCCCAGTTGACCCAGCCTAATTGGGATAATGGCATAAAGAGAACGATTGTTTATTGTTCTATAAAAATTTGCAATTTTGGCTTTTCAAGGGACTGAAAATATTAGTAACATCATGTGGTTTGAAATGCCTTTTGTGGACACGGAAGGTAATATTATGGAAAAGAAACATTTGGCATGGAAGCATTGTAGAATAAAGAATGTTCCCTTAAATGAAATACATCTGGCAATGCAGGCTGGATATTTTTGTCTTAGGCTTACTTGGATTGAAAACAGAATTCATCCTATGCGATCTTCCTCTGCCAAGAAAATCTTTATATAAAAAGCAAAGAGAGTATGTTATGGTTGGGTAGTTCTCTGATCAGGATGCTGTAAAGAATGGAGGACAGGACAACCTCTTGCCACATTTTACAAATTTGAGTCCTCAAGTGCTGCTGGACTATGTTTCTCATCATCTTCTGCTTGCAAGGCTAATGGTCACAATGATATGAGCTAGGTCATTGTATTAAGCTGTACATCTAAGGAATATATCATGTGAAATGTATGTATGAGTAGATGTATGTCATTTATTATATGTAAACATAGACCCAATAACCTTTTAATTGGTGGCCCCATATCAGCACCTATTCACACATCCTGTATAAATCAGGATGAGAAATGATGCATTTCAGACCTAGGCAACCTGGTGGCTTCCAGATGTGTTGAACATCAACTTCTTTCCCATTCAGCAATGTAGCATCTGGCAACTGGGATTTAGGAGATATTGCCTAAATATGTATAAAGCCTTTCATGTACCATCATCTCAATTATCCTCCCCATAATCCTATGACGCATATGAAGCATATGTTTTCCAGATGTTTGGGTCTACAGTTTCCACAGTCCCCTAGCACTTTTCATGCTAAATGAGAAGGGAATTGAAATTCAACATATCTGGGAAGCACCAGCATGCCTACTTATGAAATACATCACTGCTAGGCCTGATTTATAGAGGATGTGGAAACAGTTGCTAATATGGACCCATCAGTTGAAAGCTTATTGGGTCTATGTTTGCAGACAATAAATGACATTTATCCATTGATGCACACATTTCTCACGATATGTTCCATATGTTCATAACTTGATAGGAAGCCTAGCTCTCAGGCAGTTGATATTTTTTTAAAAATACAGTGTTGAACATCAGGCCACTAAGATAAAAATATGAAATTATTTTTTCCCATTTCAACTTAAAACATCACTCAACCTCTAGAGTTGATTAGCAGGTAATGTTTTTTTCAATGTTGTTAACCAGGCCTACACTCTTAGTGACCTACCAGAAGAATACTTTTTAACCTGCTTCTTCCATTCTTCCCCGCTCCATTTTCCAGTCAGCAGGAAGGAAATAAATCTCTTTCCAAAACATTTCACAGTTTACTGGAGCACCACCTCCCAAATGAAGTCAGCCAGCAAGTTCAACAAACGTTGAAAAAGCCTGGAGAACAATTAAATTTTTAAAAAGAGGATTGTTGTATTCGTTCTCTGGTGAGCAGTAGAGGGAATGGAAAGAAATGAGTCGTTTATTTTTCTTTTCTAAAGGATACCTGATAGTTATTTTATAAGGTGTCAGGAAAAGAAGGAATGCTTTCCCTTTTCTTCTTAAGGGCATGGAAGGGTGCACATGTGTGATAGGATTAGAGTCATAGAATGTACAAGCCTGTCAATATGGATGGAATAATGAAAACGACACTGGCGGATCATATTGGTGTAAATCTCATTCATCAGTTCTCCTTCTCATGGGCCTCAGATATGTTAGGATAGGTGGACAATCTACTACTCATAGGCTACACCCCATTTACAGCACAGCACCCCAAGTTTGCATTCTGAAATTTTCATGCAAAACAATGATAAAAGTTCAGGTGAAAATAGAAATGTTGGCCTCTCATTTCCATTTCCACCCTTAACCTCCCACACCCACCCCAAAATGGCTTAGAATTGTGCCATTATTATACCATTTTGTCACCAAATTTTGGCAGTTTGATTCAGACTCCATTGGGTGAAGTTGGAAGTTTCTTTAATGTGTGAATGGGAAGGGTTTCTTTCCAGAATCAGCAGTATGTTGCAGCTGCCAAAAGACCCAATGCAGTCCTACAGAAGGCTGCATCAACAAAGGAATAATATCAGGGTCACATGAAGTGTCACTAACACTTCACTAACATGAAGTGTTAGTGCCAATTTATACTGTTTTGTAACACCACACTTGGAAACTGCGCCTAATTTTGGTCATCATGATACAAAAAAGATGTTGAGTCTCTAAAAAGAGTGCAGAGAAGAGCAACAAAGATGATTAGGGGATTGGAGGCTAAAACATATGAAGAAGGATTGCAGGAATTGGTATGTCTAGTTTAACAAAGAGAAGAACTAGGAGTGACATGATAGCAGTCTTCCAATATTTGAAAGCCTGTCATAGAGAAGAAAGGGTCAACCTCCCCAAAGTACCTGAGGACAGGACAAGAAGTAACAGATTGAAATTTATCAAGGAGAGATCCAACTAAGGAGAAATTTCCTGACAGAACAATTAATCAATAGAATGACTTGCCTCCAGAAGTTATGGGTGCTCTATCACTGGAAGCTTTAAGAAGAGATTGGACCAGAATGGTACTTGAACTGAATGGTATAGGGTCACCTGCTTAAACAGAGGATTGGACTAAAAGACTTCTAAGGTCCCTTCCAAGTCTGTTGTTCTGTATTCAGATGCCTGCTTGTAACTCTCAGCACCAAAGAAGAGGGGGAAAATGTAACTACTGATAAGAAATAGCCAAAAAGACAATGGGAATTTCAATCTTTGCTGTAACTTCACCAACTTTTCCATGATGTCACTTGCAACACTGAATACCCTTACTGAATAATGGCCCCTGATCTTTTGAAAGTTGGTCCTCCATGTGTTAGGAGAATCCAGGTTTCCCCTCCTCAATCCTGCAGCCTTTTATATCCTTGGCTAAGGATGCTTGCCAAATCTTCCTTTTAATTCTCACCCCATACAGCACAGATAAAGATTCTGTGGTTCATGAAATTATTTTCAAAAGCCTTCTGCAAGTAATCAAGTCAAACCTTTGGCAAGACTGCTACTTTCCTCCCCTAGCAGCTTACTTTGGAAAAAGAAACAGAAAGAGAAGAAAGAAGAGCTGATCTCTTATTTAACTTTGCCCATTATCAGCATGGGGTTCCAAAAATAAAAATTGCAGACCTCAACAAATATTAAAAGGAGGCCAGCTATCCAAAGTTATGTGGTCATGAAGCTTCCAAGACTTGGAAAGGTAGTTATGGCCATGACACTCATACCAATATGGCAACCATCATTCCCTCTTCAGCCAATGACTGGCCCCAAGAAGTTGGTCATTCAGATTTCTTGCCACTCTGATGCAGAACAAATTTATTACAGTTTACAAGAATACAGTCGATAGACTTTGGGGGAAGCTGCTATTTCTATAATCTTTCTGGTTATTGCATAACATAACTAACACCATATAAACAGGAAGCTGCTCTTTTGGCATTGTTTTGGATGTGAGTAAATTAAAGTTCCCATCATAATAAATTTCTTGTTCAAGTCAACAGAAATGAAACTAAAGCAAAACCTATCCATTTTCTGTGATGTCTGAAACAGTTACATTCAAGATTTCTATCTTTATTGGAGTACACTAATCATAAGTGAGCATTGCCTGTAAGAAGCTGAAACTTTCTGATTATTATAAATTTTAGTCCATTTCTGATTCAAAGCAAACTAATGATCAGTAACAGCTGTCAACCAAAGGGCAAATCACATGTTCTTAATTCTTATCCCTTGGCTTTGATTCATTCTAGCATAGACCCAACTGATTGCTTGCAACAAACACCTAATTAATTTAACATGCATTTAGCCCCATCAAGCTAAAAAAGAAATGGAGGGCATTTTTAATGTTTGCCACTTGAATTATTTTCTTTAGCCTTTAATCTACTGTTTTTCTTAAATACCTTATTACAGAAATGGACCATTAACTCTAAAAATAGAACCAAAAGTATCAATTAAGATTAATTGTTGCATGATTCTCCACTTTTATGCCTTTGTGTAAACAATATCCCTAGGCTTGTTCTGAAATTTGTTTGTCCAGAAGAATCTATCCAAACAATCAACACAAGAGCTTTTCTAAAAATCACCTGTGCACAAAATAATTATTTCCTGAAGATGCTGTACAGTAAGGAATGGCAGGATTCCCATTGCTTATACTAAGATCCATGGCTGCCTGCATGGTTAGGCCAAAAGAAGTACCATTTAAGGATAGCAGAAATGCTTTTTACATTGCTGTCTAAAACAGCATATTAATGTGTCTGGTTTTCAGCTAGAGAGATGGACCTGAGGAGGCAAGTGTAATTTGTCATTCCACTTCCAGCAGCACAAAGTCTTTTGCTGAGATGAGACTAATCCAACAAGACACCATTTCAAGATGTAATTGTTATGTAACAGTGCATGATGTGCCAACACATTCCAAGAGTCCTACAGTGCCAGACTCTTGGGCCAACTGTCCAGCATTTAAGCATGTTGTTCAGGAATGAAATCAAAGAAAAGTATAAGGAGTAATACAGTAAAACTCTTGCATTCACATTATTAGCACATTGAGAGCTTTGATGGGAAGAAATCCATTCATTTATTTTTGTTCAATATATTATTTTTAATATTTGATACATGGGTGGTTGTATATGACAGTTTTCATGATGCATTACAAATGTTATGGTCTTATTACTGTCGTGTAAACACATTGTACTGTTTGTTGTTAGAAAGACTTAACATCTTTTTTTACAGGACTGTATAAATAAAACAAAGAACAAAATTAATATAAAAATGTATTTTCAAAAAAATGAAACCAGAACCTGAAAAAATCAAGACAAAACATTGTATTTCAGGTGTCTTAGTATAGTGTAGCAACATAAGGACTTAAAATCTTAAATGTCATTATATAGAAAGAGTGAGGATGGTGAGGATGATAATATATTTGCTAAAATCAGAGATGAATGTCCAAACTCGTTTGGACCGCAGTCTTTTATTTTGTATCTGTTTGTCTGTGTTTTTCATTTCATATTAATTGAATTTTGTCTAATATCCTCTTTGATCATTGTTGAGCAGAGCTTTCATATGAGATAAGACAAAATCCACATGTTGTTCCAGAAAGAAATTTCATATCCTTCCTTCCCTATGAATTTCACAATAAAACTTTGTTCATATGTATATCTATATTAAACAGAAAAGCAGATGTCATCTGCAATTGAGAAAAGGAAGCTGGGTACAGAGAAAAAGTTTTTTTTTGAAAACATTTAAGTGAAGAGACCAAGGAAAGAGTAATAAAAAGGCTATGTCTTCCTAAAAGAGTAGAGAGGATTACTAGGTTTTGACAGAAACTACCCTGTAAACATAATAGCTGCTTTTAATAACAAATTGTTTGTTTACTTGCAATAAGAGGCCATATTATGTATGAGTTATGCTTATTGGAAACCCTTGAGACCCAATCTAGAATGTTAAATTTGAAAGCAAAGGAAGAAAGTTACCTGGTGGTGTTTCCAGAGTTGATTTATTCTTTCTTGGTTTGATAGTTTTCTTTGATTTGTACTCTTTCTTGCCTGCTTTGAATCTTGGAGATACCTCTATTTCTGCAGAAGGTTTCAAGTCTTTTTCTCTTGGTTGCTCTGTGAAAGGTGACAAGTCCTCATTGGGATCTGGATAAGAATAATAATGATTCCTATTGATGATTTCTTGTAGGTAGTAATCCTGGTCCTCCATGGGGAGAGCCCACGTGATAAAGCCAAGCAGTACCAGATCAAAATAACAAAAAACAAGGTAGAACTGAAGAAACGATATCTTCCTGAAAATGGGAATCTGTTTCATCATGTTTATGTTGTGCTAAAACAATGTAGCCTTGCAGTTTTCCAGACTAAATTTAAGTGGAGAGAGAAAGATAAAAGCAAGTAAGCAAAGAAAGAAGCAAGAAGAAAGAAAGAAAGAAAGAAAGAAAGAAAGAAAGAAAGAAAGAAAGAAGAAAGAAAGAAAGAAGAAAGAAAGTTATTTGCTAGTAAAATCCAAGGTGAAGAGCAAAGTCTGGCATTAGAGCTTCTGCTTTGGGAATAGTTTGCAAAAGTTACAGCTAATGAAATAGGAGTGTGGAGTGGAAACAGAGGGAGGAGGAAACAGCTACAGTTCATGTGATCAGCAGAGCTTAAGAGTCAAACACATATGCAGGCATATAGGAAAAGAGACATACTTGACAGGTGTGATTTTTCCATCCCAAGCTTTTAAAGATATTGTTTCTCTCCCCCTCACTTTTACCTCCCCCCCTACTCCCCATTAAAAATTCAATTAAACTCATGGCTCCTAAGATTCTGGGACTTTGAATGCTGCTATAATACTAAGTCTGGACATTGTTTATTCAATAAAGTAGGGGACGGGCAGAAAGTGAGTTGGCCACAAGCCTTGGTGTCCGATTCCTTTTTTACAAATTGTGTCCTTTGTCTTGCCTGGATTGTGTAGACTGAAATGTGTTTAGATGAAACTGAAGGAGAAAGGGAAAATATTTTTTCTCCTCTGGTGGAGCTGGAATCCTCAGCAGAATGTGAAGGTTGTGTTCTTGTTCTAGAAAACAGGAAGCCAGACTCATGAAAATGCCTATTATTCTTCGAGCGTTTGATAGAAAACAGGTGCAGATCATTAATGGCCTAGAAAAGTGATATTTTTTCATTTGTACAGTCTGTCCTCCTAACATATGAGAGAGACTAATATTGTGCCCGTGCCCACAATAAACTAAGTAAGCACTATTGCTTTTTAATAGAAATGCATAGGAGTACATTGTAAAGCTCCGCTCCCAAAGCATGGTGGTGATGGGTAAACAGTATAAGCCTTATTATACTGGACAACACAGCTCTGTCTTGGAGAAAGACTTGGGACCTACTCCATTTTTCCCCACCAAAAAACTTTACATATCAATTCAAAGATATGGAAGATACAGTACTAAGCAATGTGACCTCCTGGCTGGGAATACACAGGTCAGAGTGCAGATCGACAATGAGACCATTGAAATAGTGAAGGAATTCATCTTCCTGGGCTCTAAAAATGACCAAAGTGGTGACTGCAACTCTGAGATTAGACGGCAACTCACAGCCACTCTATGGCTCAGCATTCTCCATGTCCTTCTGTCTCCACTGTGTCCTTCAGATCCACCATGGTTTTTTTTTTAAATTTGATTTATATGCCGCCCTTCTCCGGAGACTCAGGGCGGCTTACAATGCGCTAAGCAATAGCCTTCATTCTTTTGTATATTTATACAAAGTCAGCTTATTGCCCCCACAATCTGGGTCCTCATTTTACCTACTTGCTATACAATCAGATTCTTGACTGAGAACTGCAAGTTGCCCATTATAGTTATGCAGATTATAGTTTTCCAAGTGATTTACCATGAAATTAATACCAGCATTCATATTTCACATCCACTACATGTACCATAGCAATGGTAATGAATTTAACATGAAAACAATCAACTGTCCTCCCATTAGAGGCATTTGTTCCTTTTAAGCTGACTTGCAATATCTATTATTTGATTTATTATACATAATGACCTTCTCCAGACACTTGTTTCATAGCTTTCTGAAAAGCATTTTGGAGACTGTGGATTCTTTCTTCTGTAAGTCTTGAGAAAATTTTCCAAATTTCTTTGGCATGATCTAAATCCCTTAAATGCAGAGGAACGGCTTCACTGGCTGCCAGATAAATCTTAGCTGCTCTGTATTTTCCAGCATCCCAGGCTCTTTATTTCTAAATTGGGCGTCTTTCCTCATCTAGCACAAAGGTGCTTCCTAGAAAGTATTTTCACTTTGAATGTCAAAGGAGTATTTTCACTTTGGATTATCAGAGGGAGGATTTTGATCCTTGCCGCTTCCAAACAGGCTGAAAATTTCTTGATTCTTTTTTTTTGTATGCTTTCTTCTCCAAGTTTTTCTTCATTGCTCAGGAGAGTCCCACTGTTTTATTCATGAAACCTTCTTGTACATTTACTGAATGCTGGATATTGAAGCATTCTACATGGGTATGTCAATGCTCCTGAGAGCTGGAATTGGAGCAATGATTAACAAAGCAGACTATACAACTGCGATAGAAAGAATAGTTATTTATAAGAAATATTTTAGGTAATCTAGGTAAAGATTATCATGTAGCTAGCTACCAGGAGGAGAGAATAAGAACAGGTCATCTTTGCATGCAGGAATGGCAGAGGAACATGACTCAGATTAACCATATTGTAGATAAACGGCAGGAAAATAATAAATAACAAAGGAACACAGAGTCAATTCACCTCATCTTCATCCATCTTGGTCTGTATGTTCTGAGATGCTGAAGAATTACTGTCACTGGATTTGTGCCTATGGCCAGCAGGGCCCATAACATCTCTTCAGATCTTAACCATCTCCTTACCAATTGATTGATTTATGTAATCTAAATTGAGAATATTGAAAAGAGAGAGAGGTTTTAAAATCTAAACCAGAAAATATGAAATAAAAATGCAGCTGCACTGCTCAGAACAATCCAAAATACTCAAAATAATGGTGCTGAATTTATTCTAAATGTGGAACAGAACATGCATGTTAGATTTAAAGCTTCAATACTTTGGTTTGGTGTTCTGCATGATTATCCTGAATTTGCACATTAGCGTTTTCCACTATATATCAGTGAAGCATCTGTGATGTAACCTTGATACTTCCCCAGTTTGGAATATGTTGATCGGATAGGGTCAAATAATACTATTTGTTGAAGATAGCAGCATCCAGAAAATGTCTGATAGCAGTAAGGGTTCTGGTAACTCCTTCACTCATATTTACAGCATGCAAACACAAAGTGGGATTTTTTTAAAAAAAAAATCTAACTATAAATAGAGTTCTGTAAGAGAATAGTCCCTACACATCTCTCACCAAAATCATTAGCTATTGTTAGTCTTTCCTACCAAGAATGTATGTCCTGTCAATCCATGGACAAGCACCTTACTAGAAAGGAGAAGCAGCTAAGGAATATGAAATTATGAAAGCTGAGACCTAGCGGTTAAGTAGATTTGCTAGTTTAAAGAAGCTGCTAATTGTAAGAATATCACAACAGCAAATTAAAGGTAGATAGAAAGTTGAAGACTAAAAATCATAAAGCTAATAGAAAAATGCTGAGAAGACATTCTTCCCCCCCTTTCCCCACCCAAAAAAGAATGAAATTGTGAAAAGGAAGATTGCTGTTGGAGGTATGGATGCATATATAAGAAGCTATAATCATCAATCTAACAGTCTGAAAACCTTACAGCAATCGTGTCCAATCCATGACCCATAGGCTGCATGTAGCCCTGGACAGCCAGTAATGGAGCCCTGCAAGAACTTTTAACATTTTTATGTGATTTATATATGTTAACTATATTTTATATGTGACTCAAGAACAATTCCTCTTCACTCACTGTCCAGGAAATTCACTCACAATCCAGGAAAACCAAAAAGTTGGACAACTATGCCTTAGAGCCGTGATGGAAGATCTATGGTACACGTGCCACCTGTGGCACACAGAGCCATATCAGTGGGCATGCGAGCATTGCCCTAGCTCAGCTGCAGCATGCATGTGCGCGCCGGCCAACTGATTTTCGGGCCTTCCAGGCCCACCGGAAGTCAGGAAACAGGCTGTTTCCAGCCTCCGGGGGAGTGAGGAAGGCCCATTTTTCACCCTCCCCAGGCTTTCTAGGAGCCTGGGGAGGGCAAAAACAGCCTTCCCCACCCTTCCCCAGAGGCCAGAAGCCCACCGTTTTCAACTTCCGGTGGGACCAGAAGGCCTGTTTTTCACTCTCTCCAGGCTCCAGAGGCTTTCTAGGAGCCTGGGGAGGGTGAAAATGGCTTTCCCCATCCCCCAGAGGCCCTCCGGAGTCTGGAAATGGCCTGGGGCACATTGAATTATGAGTGTGGGCATGCATGTGCATGAACCCCCCCTCCCTCACTTTTGGCACACGGCGGCAAAAAGGTTAGCCATCACTGCCTTAGAAGTTCCAGGCAAAGCTGGCTTGGGAGGGAAGGTTGAAGGAGGAGGGCAGTATTGTTACTTCGTCCAACCCATTGTTATGTGGGTTGTTAAGAATGAATATTGTTGCCAGGACTAGACAAAGGAGGAAATGGAAAGCAGCTATGTGGAATCCACAAGAAGCTAGATAAGAAGAAGATGAGAGATATCAGATTCACCACAGAGGAGAAAGATGAAGGCTAATAGAAAGAGGATTGTTGATAAAAGAACCACAATTACTATTCTCTTATGAGGACCAACCTCATATGCTTGAAGGAAGAAGATGGAAGAAGTAATTGAAGTGAAGGAAGAAGTTAGAAAGGGGAGAACAAAATGGAAGAGGGAGAAAGTGAGAGAAGACATAGTAAAAGAGTAGAATTTCAAAAGTAAATCAACAGAAGAATTAAGAAACATTAACAGAGCTAAATAATAATCAAGAAGTAACAACAAATGGGGTGAAGTGAAGAATTTACTGTAGGTTTCAGGCAGAGAAAGTTTTTAAGACAAATACAGTAAATTCAAAAGTGAAGTCCAATTAAGATGAATTAATTCATATCGAAAAGGAAAGGACAAACTGTTACAAATGTAAATAAATAAAGCTTTGGAGTAATTGAAATAGAATGTTTGATACTATTTTGCATATAATTAGATAATAATGTGTCTTTTTGTAATAAAACTTGATCTCTTCTTGGTAGCCATCAATCTGTACAAAAAAGAACCAAAACCAGATTCATAATGAATAATCTTGTTCATTCATTCAACAATACAATCAAACTTTTGGGAGATGAATTCTGGCATGATTTCATATATGCTTCAAATTATCTGTGTGTGCATTTGTAGTGACAGCGTCTAACTGACCTTGGCTGATCTTGAAAAACATAGCAGAGTTACAGCTGCTTAGATGGGAGATTGCCAGCTGGACTTGGAATGTGAAGGCAGCAATGGTAAACTACTTTTGTATTTTTGCAAAAAAAAGAAAAAGAAAAAGAATTTGAATATGCCCATGAGGTTACCAGAAATTGAATTATATATGAGGGAGTTTTTAGTTATGTTGTAGTGATTTAGTTTCTGTTCCATGCATGAATCAACTTGATTTGTATACATTTTAATATAATTTGTTTCATAACTGAGCTCAGGGACAAAAACTATTCATTTTGAGC